AATCTGTAATCACATTCATTTTCCCTGCATGTAACATGCTATCTGAAATGGCAACAATGCGCATTGGTGTGTTCAATTCAGAGTGAAATGTGCCCATGACAGCATTAGAGCTTTAGTCGGTGGGGGCAGAAGTGGAACCCACAAATAAACAGCGCCTTGTACTACTTCCTGGATCAACCGTAGCTGATGTCGTCAAATGGGCTGTACACAGACGGCTGCCCACAGGAATATGATCAAACAACTATGACTCCATCTTGCAGCTGAGAACGATGCCCACCCCAGCTTGACCAGTGATTGCCGCATCGCCGTCTCCGGAGGCGTGCAAAAAACCAAGCGGGGCGCAGTTACCTTCGCAACACCGTGAGGGTCATCGATCCTCATTTTTGACATGAACCACACGTCAATATCTAGGGGGTCCAACGTGCGTGCGAGTGCAGTCTGTTGACCTATTTGCCGTATGGTGCGAACATTGTGCGCCGATAAGGTAACGGGGCAGCGTGACTTTATGGTGGACTGTTGCTGATAGGCGTCCAGTGCGAATTGCAGAAAGGTAGCTGCATATTGTTTGACTCCATTGGTTTCATTACTGCTGTCAAGTAAGCTAGGAATCGTGAAGGGAAGGTTAGTAACAGGGGTTAGGATGGATTAGGTCCATTTCAAACTGAACCGTGATCTAAATAGAGGTTGCACGTTGCAATCAAACCACATGGCGTATATTCTAAATCCAATTTTGTATTCCTTTCCGCCGTGCCAAGCATTGCTCACGGATCTTAGTGGCATAGTGCTAAAGATGTCAGCCGTAAATCACTAGGCCCCGAGTTCCACCCCAATTCAGGCTATCTCCATCTAATAAATCCAAATCAAAACGAAACCGACCATTGGGTGTCAGTCTTTGGAATAGCAACACCGAAACACCTCTATACGGTTTTGTTAGTCATGTTACTCTTTTACGCTTTCTAAACGTCTTTGTTGTCACACGATTCATGAGTTGAGTTTAATTGTAGGAGAATTTAACAATCGTCCACCTTTTACTTTTAAGCATGTAGCCAACTGAGGTAAGTGCGCACTGGTGTCTCGGATGATTTGAAACCCCTTGGTTATTTGTAGTGTTGTTTGGGTTGTTCATTTTCGCACTGCCTGCGAAATGTCAATTTTCTCGATCAGCTTTATAGCAGTTAGCTTGTTTGCTTCGATCAAACTAATCGGTACTTCAAAAACGCCTTTAGAATTCAACAACTCCCGGCTTAGTGAACAAGAGTTTAGGAAGGCGTATTTTATGGTACATCTTAATAAGTCCGCTCAGCGTTTGGTATGTCGGCGTCGCTTCGCCTCCACAAACGAATTTCAGAATAAGTCCTGGTAGTAGATAGGGGACCTTGAAACACAGTTCTGCGCGAAAATTCACTTAGTAGGCTTTATAAGGCAGTGCGCACTAGAAAGCTCAACCTTCCTGCTCACACTGTAAACCGACGAACCGACCTGAGGCGAGATACACCTGCTGAATACAGCAAACAAATTATGAGTCGGGCGTATTGTAGAGCTCGCTTTTTCAAATAGCATGATGCGACCATCTGCGCAGAAAGTTATGCTGCCTTCACAACGGCCATAAACGGCGCATAAACGAAGAATGTGGTCACCATCATCTCTTCATGAGTAATGGCTTTAATCATGCCTCCTGGGTGCTTACTACTTTGGGATCAGGTATCCAAGCGCTTATTTTTGTTCCCGTAGACGCTCATTTTACTCTTCAGTATATTAGTACTGCTTCCAGTTTGCTTTTGATGACAAGCATGGTAGAAATACGGACAGCACCTAGCCGAGAAAGCAAGTGCACACCTTGCCTAAAGATTGATACATATAGACTCCCAAAGTAGTCCGAAATAAATACGCACGTAAAGGGTATGCACGAGCTTCCATTTGGGCAAGCAGCACTGGGCATGTATACTGATGGCAATGCTGTCACCAATAGGACTACGCTTCAGTGATCTATGTACTCCAGAGACTCGAAAATTCAATGTCTTCATTTTGTCAGCATGCTTTATTTACTAAACATACAAGTTCAGAGGAGTGAATTAAAGTGCTAACGCGGCCTCAAGATGATTTAAACGCTGTACGGTCAGCAAGCCATGATTAACGAGTACAAAGCTCCGGAGAACGATTTGGATACCTCGCCGGTTTTGACAACAAAGTGGGAAACGCTAAATGGTGAGCTGTCATGGCGTAGCAAGAATGAACTAACAAGTAAGAACAACCTCTATTGCAAGAAGCCCTAGATAACTAAGCTGTCACACACGTGCTCATATGTCGGCCGTGCTTTCGTTCCACAACGCACCATCCATGGGAAAATAATGCTTCATTTGTATCTCATTCCTCCTCAAACTTGGTAGATCTTGGCTGCCACTTTTACGCTCTATCTCCAATACTGTAAATAGCATTCTGACGAGCCTGGAGTTGTCACAAGGCTGTTGACTCGCTTGATCGCGTTACTCCTAGACGCACCGGCAGAAAGATTTCTGCCTGATTTATTGGCTCGGGCTCGCTACCGTTCGTCGCTCACGATCCTCTTTCCACTCTCTATTTGGGGCTTGCGCTGAGACGTCTGGTCTCGACCACGAAGCCTGTGCCTGTTTCTGTCCTCGTTCCTTCTTGTGGCTTTCAATTATTTCGTGTGATCGTGGCCTTATGCCCCACTGAAATAGGAGCAATTAATATTCTGTGACTGTCCAACCCAAAGTAAATTCTTATTAGAGTTGCGTCTCTGTGTTTTTATAAATACTTCGAACTCTAAAAGTGGCTGGATACATGAGCCTATGATTGGAAGCTTCGCTAGGATTAAATAAATTTGTTAAATGCCTATTGGCATAGTGTCGCTTTGATGGATGCAGATATCATCTATAGGGTTTCGCCGTGAACTGCTTAAAGCAGCTCATACGCATTCCTGTAAATGAGAATAAATCACGCATTTTTTTCGCTTCAGCACATAGAATAGCGGCTTTCCTAACATTAGAAGCTACTCACCCTGATTTAAGCCCATGTAGCTGGAGACTATCCGAATTGGTATGAGTTGTGTCCCGAAAAAGCAGCAGACCAGAGCAGCACCGGAACGTATGTATCGAGAAAACTGCCACACACACGCGCAGTACAATTAAATCGATAGAGGTTCAAATTGCAACCAAGCAAATGTTTGATCATATGATTGGCCAACGAGTGCTAACTAAAAGTGTGATAGGATTAGAGGATCGAGGATAACAACAAAGCAAATTATTTGAACACGACATTATGAGATGTAGCAAATCAAACACCAACAGTGCATGTCTACAACGGAAACAACGCACGACTCCCATGTACTATACCACTGGAGTTGAGACTATGAGCTGTGGAACACCTTTTATTGGTAAGTTTTAATAGCTTTGCACTATTTGTCATTGTAGATATCCTATGAGGTGGACACTGAGACCGTGTTTATCTGACCACTATCCAGGTAATCTCCGTGTGGTTCAGGTTAAACCTTGGAGTCCTCGTAGGCTCTCGTGACCTGGTGTGTTACTGGTGGCGGTCGCGTGTTGGCTTTACGTTGTTACAACCTACCGATCTACTTTATATACTTTTATCGTCTAATGTCTAGGCCTTCAGCTACCTGGAATGAGGACAAATAGAATTTGCCATCCGATGCGATCAACTGGAGCACTGAGTTACTCGGGTCATCACACCTTGTTAGGTTTCAATTCTGCAATCTACTTGAAGGTTCTTGACAACTGATTTTCTTTCAATGCTATCGAGCCTAAAAACCAGTGTTGCGACGGAAATTAGGGTTTCCAGGGCACTGCCACCTTAGCGAGCTGTGTTTTCAATTGATACGCAATACAACCGTTTTTCATGCACTTATTTACTTTATGCCAACTTAGTTTTTATTAATGAGTAGACTGATTTAGGTATGATTCCATTTGGTTCATCGCAACTAGATTCCAAGCCGCATAGGTAAGCTATCAATCCGGAAAAACACTGGACGCTCGTTTCGTGTATTTTTATGTTCGTCAATGGTGAGCACGTGCTGCAATGTTTCATAGTCTCGTGCTACACATTTTGGTGTCCTGTTAGCTATTACAATAGAACAGCCAGCTGAGTTAGGGCTGTTGGCAAAATTTCTGTTCACCCCGTAACTATCCGTGTACACCAATTGGAACTATTATTAATGCACTTTTATTAGGAGCCATGTAGTCTTGGGCGACGTTTTGTTGCTTATCTTAGAAAACAGTGGTGATTCAGGTCAACAGAAGAGCTATATGGCTTACCAAGCCGTTCAAAGGACACATCGTTTTCTGAGCCAATTAGAATAAGCCGCAAAGTCAAACCAAGTTCTACTTCTGATAGCTACGCGAAATAGTCTTTCCGTTGTGCTTTGATTGTCCTATTCGATAAGGTCACACTTTGTGAATGTGGTCTGCATTTTTTGCTTTCTAATCCATAAGCCGTTCCGAAACTATGACCCCAACTTACGACATCATTACTCTGTTTTGCTGCTCAAAAGTGTTGACAGTACATAAGAAATTGTCCTGCAATGTAGTTTACATTAAGATCTTTAATTGAAAAATAAACATTTGTTAAACATCATCATCGTTAACTTGAGTTAACTGCACTGACTGAATTTCGTTGATTTGCGTTTAGGCTTATGAAATAAATGAAGCCCTGTTGACAAGATGAATCATAAAATGTTCTCTTCGCCATTATACATAACGCATATCACTATTTTTGACTGATTCTTAGATGGCTATCGGTATCGGAATAACTAATATCCAACTAAGATTATGAGCCCGAACCTCAGCAGTATAAATCAAATGTGTTCAGAGGAGGGAGCGTCGCTCCACATTTTTCGGTATTTTACCATCTTGTACCGTTTGGTGAGAAAAGTGCTGTTGAATATCATACAGAGAATGTTGGGCAGTAGCCATTCATATCCGACTCAGTTTCTACAGATTTTATTTATCCTCTACTACTTCCAGCTTCAATGTCGAGCACTAACGGTTACCAGGAAAATGACGATCTACCAAACGGAACCTCCATTAATGGGCTGATAACTGACCTACCAATTCCAGACTCCGGTGATCCAGAGTTATTTGATCCCGATTGTGATCCATCCCACCCGGTTCGCATTAACTATCAGGATGTAGCAGCAGCTCACTACAGAATTCACCGGGGAATCGAATGTACCCCATGCAAAGTAACTGAATATACTGCTCATTTTATTGATCACAGAACTCCAAGCTGTCAAAGGCGATCGATGTCCATTTATATTTGAAAATGGATTTTCTCCAGGTCACAGGAAGGTTAGTAGTAAAGTGAACTCAGAACAGACTTTCATCCACTTGTAGCTTTAAAGAACGTGGGGCACGAAACTATCTTTCATTGATTCCACAGGTGAGTTGTGATTGCCTCGGGACTACTTCAAAGTCACTTGCTACATATGTCTCAGGTGTCATGTAAGTGCGGTGGTATACTGCTGCTTAGGCAAATTGCAAATCATGCAATTTGAGTCAGAAGACAATAGGATGTGTATAACGTGGGGCGTACATTCCTTATATATTTATTCTTCCTTGTCTCCCTGTAGACGGGTAGAAAACGCGGTGTTATCACTTCGAGTGCCGGTAATCACGCTCAGGCACTCGGATACCACGGAAGGGAACTCGGTATACCAGTGACTGTGGTCATGCCAACACGTGCCCCCATGATGAAAGTGGAAAACTGCGTCGCACTTGGAGCGAATGTGATTTTAAAAGGAATCGACATGAGTGAGGTGAACACACTTGTTACATTTGACCAAAATATCGACAATGTACGACGATGTGTTGATGGATTACTGTAACTGATTGAACCTATGAGATGAAGGTTGTCCACTTGAAGTATTACAATTTTACAAGGGAACACTCATGGGTTTTGCGTGTTATAAGTAATAGTTCGTCACATCGCTACTCAGGCAGATAAATATCACATGTCTGGAGGAGCATCTTTCCCCGTTTTACCATTTCCGAAACCGCCTGCAGTGCATATTCCATGTGGCTGCTCAGTGCCTAGAGCCGTCAAACCGACACATAGGTTCCTAGGTAAGAACATTCCGCTACGGCAGACGGTAACAACTGATGTGGACAAGTTACTACACTGTGGGTTTGCATGTGTCTCCCGATTGTCAAGGACATACCGTAAATTGCCGCAGTTTGCGCTGCTTGATGAAAATCCCGAGGAATTCTAACGGCAATCCGGAGATCAATGGGATCCCACACGATGCACAACGCGCCAAGTGCGGCTCTCCGCAGCTTGCACAGTGCTTTACGCGATGAGGCACAGGCTAGAGATACTTGAACGATCGATATATTCCGCTCAATGTTTGAGGATAGAATGTTTCACGGAAAACTGGATGCCTGTGGGCTCTGTACTGACCGATGTCTAGCCGTAGCACTGAAGTTACCGTTACATACAAGGTCTACGGTGGTAAAACATATGGATATGGCGCTGGTGGACGAACGTACACGTGGTACAGAACTGCTGCTATTTCATCGCATCTATGTTCCCATTAAAGCAGACAGACTGACGTACAGGTGAGCAATAAGTTTTCGATGTGCCCATATTTGTATCAAAGGTAAGGTTAAAACACATTTACGGTGGGCACGCCGGTAGACTGAAAACTAGCTTCCCAATAAGCACTAGGAAAAAAGCACCACTTTCAACTAGACCTTTCACATTGGGAATAATAACGACTTGGTAGTATTTTGCTTTCTTATTAAGTGAGTCAAGTTCTATCTGGAATTTCTTTTTCCTAACTAACCTACGATACTTTAGGTTACCCGGTTGTTTCAGTTCATTTTAGTGCAGTTGGTAAATCATGATCCGGGCACCAAAGTGTTGTGGATGCATTTGCCACGAATCGCGTCGCCAGAGTGATAAAAATGAACAATGATAATCAAATGCGATTAGACTTAAACATAGTATTTTGTTACAAGAAACTCTGCAGTGCCTCACTTCAGTGTCTGTTGAAGTTGAATCGCTGGCGTTGGTTAGGTCACGTGCTCCGTACACCAGTTAACTGCCTACCTCAGCAAGCAATATACGCAGGCACTACGCCATGTTGGTCGAAACCAGGAGGTGTTCAATCGATGAGGTCGCATAGGGTCATGAGGAAATTGATTGAGAGACTTGGTTAAACAAATACGTGCCGTTTTCGTAGATGGGGGCCTCGTACTAGTCTAAACCAATGCTTAGAGACTTCGTTGGACGTGGCGCATTGTCGGAGTCAGTGACGCTCCTGAATTCGTTCTCTTGCGTGTAGCTATTCACACTTCAATACGATAAGCTTCATGCACCTGGTGCTTGCTTCCATTCCGCTTATCCAATGTTTAAGTCTAACTGCATTTAATTATCATTGTTCATTTTTATCACTCTGGCGACGCGATTCGTGGCAAATGCATCCACAACACTTTGGTGCCCGGATCATGATTTACCAACTGCACTAAAATGAACTGAAACAACCGGGTAACCTAAAGTATCGTAGGTTAGTTAGGAAAAAGAAATTCCAGATAGAACTTGACTCACTTAATAAGAAAGCAAAATACTACCAAGTCGTTATTATTCCCAATGTGAAAGGTCTAGTTGAAAGTGGTGCTTTTTTCCTAGTGCTTATTGGGAAGCTAGTTTTCAGTCTACCGGCGTGCCCACCGTAAATGTGTTTTAACCTTACCTTTGATACAAATACGGGCACATCGAAAACTTATTGCTCACCTGTACGTCAATCTGTCTGCTTTAATGGGAACATAGATGCGATGAAATAGCACCAGTTGTGTACCACGTGTACGTTCGTCCGCCAGCGCCATGTCCATATGTTTTACCACCGTAGACCTTGTATGTAACGGTAACTTCAGTGCTACGGCTAGACATCGGTCAGTACAAAGCCCACAGGCATCCAGTTTTCCGTGAAACATTCTGTCCTCAAACATTGAGCGGAATATATCGATCGTTCAAGTATCTCTAGCCTGTGCCTCATCGCGTAAAGCACTGTGCAAGCTGCGGAGAGCCGCACTTGGCACGTTGTGCATCGTGTGAGATCCGAGTGGATCTCCTGATTGCCGTTAGAATTCCTCGGGGTTTCCTCGGGAGCTCAATGTGTGACGATTAGTAGCCACATCTCTGCCACGCCGTGCCCGTGATTTGGTTCTCCTGGCTATCGATGGGGTCAAAATATGGTGACTAAATGCAGCTACTGCTCTGCCAGTTATCAGTAGTTTGGTTCAAATGTGCCAAACAGCAACCAGCCAACATTAGACAGTTATGACGCCACCGAAGGAACGGAACATTTTGGAACCGCAGGCGTATGCGCACGGCTGACGATTCCATAAGTAAGAAACCGCACAATGCTTATCCGACCGTGCGACATGATTAATTTCTACTTTGTGTTACAATATGGTGTAACGATTAGGTTGTTATCAAGTTCTTACCCTGTTTACTGATTGTTATTGTCCGACCTTTAGCTCAGATTATCTGATATTAATGGTTACCGTTGGGTTCCTGAGTACTGCCTTAGTATAACTACGCATGTTAACCAAGATGTAAGCATTTGTACTCGCTGAAGTAAGCGTTATAGGAACATCCTGCCTTAATCTGTTACAGACACTATCATATAGACTGAGGTTTTCGTAATGAAATCCGTGTACTGATTTTATCATTCGAGTCATTTGTATTCTGCTTTGCTGTATTTTTGTCTCCGACCACAGGCGAAACCATACGCCATGAAGGTTGGCAAGGTGAATAACATTCCCTATTGTGACGGGTGAGTAGTGTAGCTTAATATTCACTCTTCGTGGGTGAATAAGACGCATTGTTGACTTGAGTTTCTATATTTGTTTCCTAACACTGGTCTCTATCGCGCCCGATACCCAATATTGTGTGTTCCCTATTAGCAAACAAAATACCTGGCAATAACAGGAAGGTTAAATTGAGTACACCTCTCGCTGCATAGTAGCTTGTTTAACTTTGTCTTATAATTCAACGTGGCACCAGGTAGCGAGCGTGGCAGATTTTGGTATGTGTTTCACCTGCTCAGATGCATGTGATAAGCGCCGTTCGTAAATAGTTGGAAGGTTTCAGCCTGTAATCAAACTTAACATTGGGCAGTAGTGGAACTACTTGTGATGAGATGTCTTTGTTAAGATGAACAACGATAATATGCATGCCCATCATTGCTATCTTACTGAGATGCAGAGTTGTGCATTGTTTATACTAACTAACCGGGAGCAGTTGAAGGTGTGCCAATTAGCCACAATTCCAACTGACGCACCCGTATATGGGGGTGGCTGGTACTTACATGTAAAGACGTACCGACGCTTCATTTCTGACAGAGATATCACATTGTAGAGTATGCGGTAGACACAGCGAACATTGTGTAGCCATTTGGTTGAATCCGAAACATTATCCGTCACTGTGATTGAGGGACGATTGCCAGACACTTCCTACAATCACAAATATAAGAAAAAGCAAAATGACACTAAATACCCGTACCTCGGGCACGCTCTCTTCTTAATTATCTGATTGGCGCATTTAGTGATTTAGTTGCAGGCTGAACAATAGTTTCACGGTTCCTACAGATATCATACAGCTAAACTAACGACAGACTTGTACCGTCCACAATAAGCAGATAAAAAACCGGGGACGAAATTCCTCCATGACACATGAGGGCTAAGTAGAACTAGACTCAAATCAAAACTGCGCTTGTATGCACCCGTGGTGGATGAACTCTCAGCCGTTGCCCGGACGCATTCCAAATAACACAAGAGGATGTGCAACACGCATTATGGCTAAGGTAACAGCAAAACCAACTGCAATATTTATCATAAGGATATCGATAAAATTTGCACCTTAATTACTGAATGATGGCACTTGAGTCCGCAGTAATCTTGCTAGATATGGATTGGTCGACAAGCCGCAGGCTTGCTTGTGAGCATATCTACTTCTTTGCATTGGTCCGATTGTGAAACTGGGTGTACATTCAGCTAGTGTAAAAGAGGTGATCTCGGTGACTATTTTTGAAGCAAATTTATTGCAGGATTAATGTCAGTAGGTCCTTGGTGGTTTTGTGAGTAGTGTACTTTTTGTAAAATTCGAAGCCACGATTAAACTTCGCACAACAATCTGCCTCGACGGGGACTCGAACCCCTGACTGTGTGAGCCAGAGACGATTTCGAATGCCGTTGCAGCTAGACGACTGCTTCAGCAGCCCGTCAGTTAGTCTGCACGACCTACTGAATAAGCCTGGAAAATCACCGCATAGCATAACACCAATGTTACAGAATATACTCAGAGGTAACTCGCCAAATCGAAGCATTGCTTACTGACGATGACCGCAGATGACAGACGTAAAAATCAATCTTCGGATTTTGGTAAATGCTTCATTTACATAAGATATCCATGATAAGCCATGATTCGGTGTTGCTGCGAGATACTTCACGAACAGGAAAACTCAAATTTTATTCAACAACGTGAAACGGGGAAGCATTCTTTTTTATTTCTGTCAACGAACTGCGATATACAGCGGGAACAGCATCTCAATGTTCTTGAATGTAATTACCGTCAAACATCTTGATTTTCTCCATTAACTATTACATGATTCACACTCATTTTTAGGCCGAATGCGTATTTAAAAAGCACCTTTTCTTCAAGCGTAGTTATCAAGCAAACGAAGGTGGAGAATAATAACGGCACAATACTACCTCCTTATAGGATATTGGAAATATGGTATCTGACGGTGCTACTACCACCAATCCTAGTGACATGACTTCGCTTGGCGATTAGATCTAATGGAGCATCTAAGGCTGCTATTAGTGAAGCATGATGGTCCTGGTTACATTTAGTAATGGGCGTATTGTGTGCTGCAAAACAGCTGTTTCTCTCGACCAAATCGTTTGATACTTTGGAATGTAGGTAACACACTCTACGTCGTTTCCTCCATATATATGGTGTGTGACTTCGAGTTGGGCAAAATGCTAGCGCCATGCATCAACATTTCAGCGAGAATCGTACATGCAGCAAACATACTCGATGGCGTGGGTGGAGGAGGCCTTGAATATATAGCCCATAGTAAGAATGTTATGCTCTAGAAGCCTACGTTACAAATCACTTGCCGAGTTACTTTCAGACAGTTGACAGCTGTTCACTGCACACAAAATTTTTCCCTTCATCTTCTTCCTTTTTGCAGCACCTGGAGATTTACCGCAGATTTACCGTGTGGCTAACCGCTGCATTTACGCAATGCTGAGTGCAAAAGAATAACTTGTAACAGCATTTTCAAGTGAAAGAGAATTAGTGCGCTGGTTTTAGTAGGTCACTAAATTCTTGCTTTGGTGTCCAACAAACCTAACTTCCGTTTTTCCAACCAAGTAACGACTGGAAGCTGAATTTAAGTGAGCGATGACTGACCGAGCAAACTCGGTTCCGGGTAAAAATCATTTACTGTTTTGTCCAAATGAGTCAAAGCAGTGTCGCTTTAAGAATATCTGTTATGTGCGGTTTCATGCTAATTTTTCTCCAGTAACAACAATTGAATTTTCTGCTATTTACCATGAAATGCTTCTTTCTTCACAACTCTGCTTCGTCTACCACACTTTTGGTCACAGATACGATCATCCTGCAATCATAGCTGGCCAAGGAACGGTTGCTCTGGAGATATTGGAGCAGGTGCCAAATGTTGATGCTATCATTGTGCCCGTTGGCGGTGGTGGATTGATTGCTGGTGTAGCTGCTGCAGTCAAAGAGCTCAGGCCCGAGGTTAAGGTCTACGTAAGTCCCCCCTATGTCAACTCACCTAATTTTAGGGACACCAGTTTTGACTATCATCTTTCTGAATATATAAAACTGCCACCGTTGACGGTTCCTTTGATATCCGTCCAAAACCTAGTCTTAACATATTGAGATACGTCACGGTTACCAACGGTTTTCCATGGACGCAAATCTCCATAAGAACAACAGCTCGATATGACAGATCCATCCCAAGGTGGAAACAGTAAGCAGGAGTGGATTTGCAGTTGTGTTAACTTAACAGACTTGCAACTCTTGTTACATTCAAACAATCGAACCTTTAGGGTGCGAAATGTTATGTAGTCTGCCTCGTGAAACGCAATTGTTGTCTAAGAGGTGCAAATCCGTGTCAGCTGAACTCGTGGTCACGTTGTTGACAAGTAGCTATGCAGTTAATTCGAGGTTAAAATTGGAAAATCTCCGCCTTACTCCGTACTGAAAATCCATTTCTCTTAAATGACAAGCTCCAACACCTTGCACCTTATCATAATCAACAGGAACCTCAACGTAGAGGCAGCGGAAGAACAACGCAATACCAGCATCTGTAGTGCTTACTAAGCAGCAAAATGATGTAGTCCATAAGGGGTAGCGAAATAGTGAACAGAATGCATTCCATGAGGCGCCAAAATTCATATCGGTACTGATTGACAAACTTACTTTGCAGCCGGATCTGCAATAGGTTACAGAGACCGTCGGGATAGAAAAGCTCTATTTAACACAGGAAAGGCACTAAAAAGATCAAAGGTTGTTTGTAGTTTACTTTACATTTTGCTGATTTTAGTTAAACAAGCTGTGTTTGGAACGTTCAAAGATCAAATTCCTTTGCTACCGATTTGACGGTTCCCTTTAAATCTTTCTCCAATGTGCCACAGATTTCCATCATACCCACTGACCATACCCCATAAAATTAATTTGCGATGACATTTGTCACATCTTTCAGGCATTGGGGAAGCACACTCTGTTGCGGCAATTTGAAAACATACTTTCGGCAATTTCATGCGTGGCCCAATGTCTAGTACAGAAAGTCCTAGTGATTGGACAAATGTCTTGGCTTAATATCGACACATGTTAAATCTAAAGCTGTGCTCTGAACTACGGGCCATTGTGTGAGCGTACCTAAACAGTGTAATATCTTTTGTGACTTTGTGCCTAGTAGGTAGTTGTCGTATACCCACTGCTCCTTTCATGTTAGCTACACACAAGAAGGAAATATCGAATTTGGTGAAATCCAATGCCAAAATGTGCCTGGTGGATGCTGGGAATATATGACTGGCTATTGATGATTACTGGATAATGCATGAGATCTGAGATTAATTCGCGCCAAGGTCATGCCGTGTAGTCACACTGAAGCGACGCTGTACCGCTTTTAAATCTAGCACTCGCATTTCTTGACGCACATTACTGTGCTTACACTTATCCAAATCGGATTTACTGGCGCTATTTAGTGGATCTACCACTGCAGTAGTATTTAGCACACACCAGCGTGGCATCCGTTACTGCGATTTCAGCAGGATTTGCACCTAAATCCAGGCGTCCCTCAACCGTATTTTTCAGTGTATTCCACTATTTGTGCCATCATTCCACAGCGTGCTCTTAGCGCTATTCAACGATTATTTTACCACAGGTCTCAGGCACTCCGCTTGATAGCTGCAGCTTGTTTAGCAATCAACATCCTAACACTCGCCAAACTAGCGCGAATTCTACCACAGCCGTCAAAAAGTATCCTTCCACCATATCTAACCCGACCCGATCGATGACACAGCGCCCACTGCTTGTGCGTTACCATCCGTCGACTTTGGTTACAACTGTGGTCACTCTCGTTATCAACCGACATCTTGTGCCTGTCCGAACATGCTGGGCGACGCGTCTGCCGCCTCGGCAATCGTTCGCAACAAAGCAACAAGGAAAACAATTTGTACACGGATAAGTCAGCAGAAAACAAAAGTTATTTGTGCTTTAACATCATGCTCCAAGACTATCCGGATTGCAATAACTTGTAATAACTGCAGAACACAATTTCTTTCCCGGTGGGGAAACATAGATGTATGGGAAATAAAAACGACTTTGCACACCAGACTACATTTGGTTTTAGCGTATGCTCAACCCACTCGTGAGGTGCATCGCCGTACTGGCAGAGAGACAAACTAACAACGCATGTGGAGCGTGCAACGACTGATATAGCGGTTGCATCGGAACCAGATGCATCTGCCCTCTGCTCCCGTTGCCTAAGCTTATGCTCAAACCTGAAACGGAATAGCCAAACCCAGTGTAAAGTTAAATAAATTAATAAATTCTTTATTCGCGTACAATGCGTGATACGCCTATATAGGCAATCTCAAACACGATAACAGCCAACGAAGGACTACTAACCCCGGCGACTCGAATGTTTCAGGGAGCGGTCTTTCCGGATGGTCTGTCTGTGTCACACGATACTCCATTACCTTCTGGTTTACCGAACAATACCGAAAGTCCAACAGCATATGCATCTATCGTCGCTGCATGTAGACCCAAGGCAAGGTTGGCGTGCATGTCAGCAACCACTCCACTGTTAGAAGTGACACAAATACCAATGCATTCCCGAACAGACCGCCAACCACACCGCCAATAAAAAGGCACTCTCTTATCAAAAAGTAGGAACACTAAGAAAACGCAGAACTCGATGAAGGTAATATGCACCAACGTGCTTTAGTCAAAGAAAAACATAATCAAAGACCCGAAACACTGGGGACCCATAAGCCAAGCAATTAGTATCCAGGCCAAACAGGTTAGCTTGTGTTGTATCGTCCGCCACCCAAACTCGGTTCGCTGTAGCGAGCCAAAGCTACTTCAGGTGACGTTACAGTCTGATGACCAAGCGCAGACCGCTCTCTCGTTAGCTCACCGTCTTCCTGATTCGCCACGCGGCTTTAGTACATTCCCTGAGCAGTGAGCGTCGGCAAAGGAACCAAAACCCAGGAGAACACCGCGAACAAACCGACGAACCATTCTTCTTTGTCCATGGTGTATCAAAACTCCAGTCATCAGACGAGTCGCAGTTCCAAACTCATAATTTGGAGGAGTGACGCATTATCCGCGAAGCCCTCTCTCTCCACTAACGTTTTGAAGATTGCCGCCATGAGTTTAGCTGAACCGCTAACAACTCTATTTCAGCTATGTCTTTAGCAGACGCACGTTCCCAGGATGGGGAAGCATGGGATAATTACTTCAACCTACGCAAATGATAGCCGTGCTGAATCAACAAATTAGCGCCTGATAACACTGCTTCCGGTGATCTCCAAGGTTATGGAGTCCATTTTAGCCAAGACCTTAATGGGGTACCTGTATAACAACAAAATACTCGTTCCGGAAAAACACGAATTTCGCCAAAACCCTCCATGTGCTACGAACCTGTTGATGGCTCGTGCATGCTGGACGGTATCTGTGGATGTTCGTGTAGGAGTCGAGGCGACCTAACTGGATTTCTCAAAGGCATTCGACCTTTTCGACCATCGCATTCTACTTCACAAACTTCAGAAATATGGAATCGGCGATCCTGTTCTGGGCTGGATAGGAGACTTTCTTTTTCAACGTCACCTGAATGTGAGGGTTCGCAGCACCCTATAGGAACCAATGGAAGCTCAGTGCGGCATGTTTCTGTACTCGGATCCCGCCTGTTCATAGTCTTCATACATAATCTCGCGAGGGTGCTAACTTCAAACGGTCTGCGGTTTGCTGATGACCTAAAGATATGGCATTCTATCGCTTCAGTGGAGTACCACACAGCCTTACTGGATAACCTGGACAAAGCGTACAATTGCTCCATCAAGGTCATGCGGCATTTCAACACTACCAAGTGCAAAATTCTCAGCATATGGCACCAGAGTATTTTCAACTACGGTCTACGGTTACAGATACTACAGCGAGCTTCTCATGAGTGCGACCTCGGCGTGCATGTTCAGGATGTCCTCTTTTGTTTGAGGCGGATTGAAAAGGTATCTAAGAAAGCAAACCAGCGCTACGGCCTTCTTCGTAGAGCATTCTAGAAGTTAGATGCGTCAGCCTTTCCGAAAATGCTAGGCGCCTACGTGAGGCCGCACGCGGAAGACGCTATTCAAACGTGGCAATTCTGGTTGTAACACCATCTCACAGCGCCCCATACTGCACAATGCAAAGCAACAAAGAACGTCAGATGTTTTTGCTGCCTTCCCTAGCCATTCAGTCTGAAAACCCTCAAAGTATACAGCGGACGTTATCGGCTTCTAAGCTGCGATCTCATAATGATGTATCAGATTCTGAGAAATCGTAACCACATATGTCATTCTCTTTTGAAATAGTCAAAACAGGTCTCTAATGGTCATCTGTTTAAGCTGATCACGCAGTACAGCCTACTGGAATGTCGACGAAACGCTTTCGCCTTCCGAGTGTCACAGCCATGGTACGCCATCCAGATACATGTAATTAATGCCCCACCTTATCACTTTTCACAAAACGCCTTGATGATCCGCTGACATATTGACACTACATGACCATCAGTATTAATGCACAACAAACAGTGGACGGTGTCATAACCCTACTCGCATATGAGTTACTCCAAACCACTTGGTGATTTCTGTATTTCACGCACTGTTTTATAGTTTGTAATTCTCACCCTAACTAGCCTACGGGACATGTGAACCATTCGCTTTTATACCCGCCATAAACCATTGCTCCATTGCTGTGCGGAATTCCGAAGGCACACATTGGGCTATGGCTTCCTTAATTTTATATTACTTGTAAGTAGCAGGAATTTAGTTGTAATTTTTGTAGGGTATTCATCCCGAGAGCACAAGCTACATAGCACGTGTTCCGTGTCGAGGCGTTGGATAGCAGCCGCCGAAGTTTCCCGTGTTGAACAACTCATAATTATGTGGGAGAATGAAAGATAGTGTTTTAGGAGCTCATTATAATGCAATGGGGTCATACTAGAAGGCACGGAACTCATAAGCCATTATCCTCAA